TCCTTCAGGTCTCAGTCTCCACATCTTTAACTGCAGATGAAAATACTTGGCTGTCATAATCACACCAGGGCTTTGGCTGAAAGTTCTGAAATATGCCTGATATGGGTTGTTAGAGTCACAGAGCACGTGTCAAACTGGAACGGCACACATAAGCACACTGATGGTAGGGACTCACAGACTGTGGAGCTGAAAGGGACTTTCCAGTCTAACGTTCTCACTGTGCTGGTGAGGAGATCGAAGCCCAGAGATGCAAGGAGTCTTGCCCAGCATCTCGTAGGTGGCAGTCCATTTGGATCAGGCCTCAGATTTCCTGACTCTGGGTCCAGTTCCTTGATCACATCTAGGTAATTATGCTCATTCAGAAGGTATTAGTATTGCAACATGATTAACCTTGACATTAACCATTTGAGAATAACCTTTGTTAGATGAAATTTCACTATTTATTGACCATACCAGCAATTTCTATGAATAATCACAAGGATTAATGAAAATTTGGAGGACCAAAAATTTACCTGTTGTGGCACATGATCTTCTTTTGTACCATCACTGTGCATGACTCTTCCCTCATGGCACTTAACACAGAGCAATGTTCTTGTTTTTAAGCTGCCTTGCCTACCAGACAGCTTTATAGTTACAGAGACCATATCTTTCTTCTTGCTTTATTCCCATAGTGCCTGGTTCAATAATTATCAAATGAATGCATGAAATTCAGAAACTAAGAAACTAAGGAAGAAGCAGTGGTCCTCTCACATAGGGCCTGGTGCAGTTACAAGCAGATCCTGCAATCACTGGGCAAAGGCCAAGATTGGCTTTCTTGTCCGGTGAACATCCCCCGCTGCGGTGGTTTCAGAATCCTAGCAGCTGACAGCACTACTCCAAATGCTTTAAGTGCATGTACTCATTTCATCCTCACTACCCCGAGGAGCCCTAAGTTACAAATGAGACAGAGAGTTACAAAATTGAGGCCGGGAGAAGTTCAATCATTTCCCTTGGGCTCAAAACCTAAGCCAAGCCGCCAGGAGCCAGATCATGTGCTTCTAACCCCTGGGCTATATTGCATTTAAGCCAATGACTGCAGCAGAGCTTATCCTTTTTTATTTATTTTACTTTATTTTATTTTTTTTACCTCTAAGCCAATTTGTACATTTGAAAACTTATATACCGCACCACGGTGGACATACTGACATTTCCCCAAACTGGACATATATGTGCTCATCTTTGCGTTTTCCCTCACCCTTCGACTCCTAACTCTTCCTGTTGAACTCATTTTTCACCTCTCGGCTTCAAGTGCCAACTCTGAAAAAACCTCCCTGGCTTGGTTTCCTCTTATCAGAATTAATCTCTCTGTTCTAGGTGCCCTTTGTTTAAACTTCAGTTTTGGCACTTAGCACATCAAGCCTGGGATGAGTCACTGGGGTGTTTGTGGGAGATCTCCCCAGCTACACAGAGAGCTCGGTGGGGCAGAGGCCGGTGGGAATTAGCGTTACCTTCTTGGGCCTGCTGAGCACTCAGTAGGTGCTCAAGGTTTTCAAAAATGAGACTTTTTTTTTTTTTTTTTTTTTTTTTTTTTTTTATAGTTTTTTTTTTTTTTTTTTTTTTTTTTTTTAAGGCGTTCAGGGTTGCTGTCTGGTGGCAAGGTCTTTTTTTGGGACGGCTCTGTGGGCTGAGATGGCCTCAACCCGCCCCTCTGCCCACTCCTGCCCCGGCGCGGCCTACCGCCTGGTAGGGCTCTGCGGGCCGCGAGGGCCTCTAGTGCCCCGGCCCTGGCCTCGGCCCAGTTTCCCCAGCTACTAAATGCGGCCCGGAGCTACCGGGGGAACTGGAAAAACACTGGCAGGCGGCCCCACCCCCAGGCCCGGCGGGGCCGCGCGGCCGCCTTTCTGCGGCTTGGGCCTGCTGCTTGGGAGGCGCTGGGGCCCGGGGCGGGGGAAGCGGGGGCGGCGGCCTGCCTGTCAGCGGGAGCGGGCGCGGGCTCGTGTGTCAGCGGCTCCCGCCCCTCTCCCCGCCGCCGTCCGCCCGCCCGCCGGGCCTCCCGGCCTCCCGCCGCCGCCGCCGCCGCCCGCTCCCCCCGCGGCCTGGCAGGCTGCCGGCTGCACAGGCGGGGGTTCGCGCCGTTCTCACGACCTCTCAGGTTGCCTGAGCTCATCTGGGAGCTATTCATTTCCTGCCAGAAAGCAGCCGGGCCTGCTAAGCAAACCACCTTGGCCGCAGGGCCGCCGGGGCTGGCCCGGCGTGGCCGCCCTGGCCCGCTCCCGCCCGGGCCGCGGGCCCCGGCGGCCTCCCTGGAACCCCGGGGCCGCCCCGGCGGGCGCGCGGCGGGGGCAGCCTGTCCGCCCATCTGGTTGCACTTAGGAGTCGGGGAGGAAGCTAGGAGCGGGTTGTTACCGGCCAAGGGGTGTGGGAAAAGTTAATTGACTTTAATGACAGGTTTCCCGGGACGGTGATGACGACGCGGGGGTCCAGCGAAACGCCTGGGTCTCCATTCCAGAAACGCGTGGGGTGGGATGGGGCGCGAGGAGGGGGCGAGCCTCCGGAGTCGCGCTTCTGCGCTGGGAGAGGGCTCTCGTGTTGACCGAGAAACACCCCCACCCCCTTCCAGTTCGGCGCCTTTCCCGCTCCGGATGCTGCTGGAGACGGCGGGGGGCCAGGGCCCCGGAAGGTCTCCATTGAGAGGCTAATGCGCGCGGCAGCCGAGGCCCGCGGCCCGCATCCGGACGCAGTTTGGAGCTGTGCCTTATCTCCCGGAGCGATCAGAACTGGCGGGGGCCAGGGAGAGGGGCTGCTGGTGCGCCCGAGGCCGTGTAATTAGGCCAGGCCTGAGGGACCCCCAGGGAGACAACATCATTGAAGTCGTATTTTTGAAGTTTTGCTTCTCCCTCAGCTACTTACTCCAGAAACAGCCAAAGTGCAGGAGGGTACGGCGTCTTAGAAATAAGTCCATTCATTTTCCAGACTTGGAAATGACCCCGAGAAGGGAAATGACTTATCCAAGGTGACACCCTGAGTTTGGTGGCGTAGCTGGGGCAAGAACTGGAAAGTGCCGGTTCCCGTTTGGAGCCTAGTGGGGTCTCCATCCTCTCCCTTTTTAAAACACAATAATCAAATAGTCTAAACCCAGCTTTCAGGAGGGAAAAGTCATCTTTTCAAACCACAAATTTTAAAAAAGAAAAAAACAAATGTTTACTTCTTTTAGTCCTCCTCCCTAGGAAGATAGTATGCTTTCCGTGATATTAATAAAAATGCACTTAAAAAAATTTTCACCTTCAACATAGGGACATTTAATTTTCAACTGGTGTTGAGTTTTTTTTTTTTTTTTCCTGTGAATTTTAAGGATATCAATGTAAAAGGAATTCCTCGCATAAAAATAAGACATTGAGGTCTGATTTTGTTCTACCAGGACACTTAAGGGCTCCTAGTGAGGCCAGAGTACAGGCTTACCAAAGGAAACACTGGCGCTTGAGGTGCGTGCCTTAATGGAGCAATTGTTACTTTGTGTTTAAACGGGAGGGAAAACGTGGAAAAATGATAAAGAAGGGTGTGTGTGTGTGCGTTTCTTTGGCGGAAGGTGTGTTGGACACCTTTCATGTACACACAAACTAAGGCAAGTAGGAGACAGATTCAAAAAGATCTCTTTTAAGTCTCTCCCTCTGGTGTGGAAGCTGGGTCCGAAGGTGTCTCAGTGGAAAACGGCTGTCTCCCGGATCATTCCTATGATAGAGCCGCTCTCCACACTGGCCTGTGGGAAAGGCCAGAGCAGGGCGGGGGAGAGGTAAAGCTTTTGAAAAAAGACAGAAAATCGTTGGCTTTATCTTTGTTAGGAAAGCTTCAAAGATTGATCTCTCCCGCCTCATCCTTCTCCTCCCAGAAGCCGGTCTAAGAAAAGGGGGGTGAGAGGAGGCTGGCGGGAGGGGTCGGGGCGGGGAGGAGGACTGGCCGGCGATGGGGGAGGAGGGCGCCCGCCAGACCCACAGCGCGGCTGATGTGTCTGGTCTCGCAGGGCTCGTGGTTTTCATTTCCCCAACACCTGGATGCAGTCAAACACCTGGCCAAATCTGACAAAATCTGACAAGCCTTTGTGATGGGATTTGGAAGAAATTCCCTGCAGATCCTGGCACAGTTTAAAGCTGTCCGCTTTGAGTTAGGACTTGTTAAGGAGGGATATGTGAGCTGAAACCTGAGACAACCCTTTTGCTTCTATCTGGAGCCCACATCTTGCCTGGAAATGGGGCATGACCAAGCGAAGGGGTCGCTTGCTGTTTGTATTAAAAGGGGAAGATGGCCTGTGTGCCTGCCAGCACAGCCCGCACATGCTTTCTCTATTAGAGCCAAGCACAGAAACTTATCAAAAACACATGTCTGGTGTTAATCATCTGGGCTCGGCCTCCACTTGGGAGTCTAACTAACTGTCCCTTGGCAGAAGGAATCTGTTGACCTTTTCAGCTTGCTTGAAGAGGGTGCAGAGAGGCATTTCAAACTTTTGCGTGCTAGGGAATGTCTTATTTGAACCAAAGGATTGGCTAATTAATGAAGAAGACCCCAACACTTGAAGGAGGCACAGCAGCTGAAAGTGTTTTTACTTCGCATGTTGGTGAGCTACCCTAGGAGAGTAGAGCTGCAGGAACCACCCTAAACGTGCAATGGGCAATAGAACTGGATCCACCAACTTAGTGAATTCAGTCCTGTTCAGGCTTCCTCAGGAGGAGCTATGTAATTGAACAAGGGCTGCAGACTTACCCAACTGCAACTTGAAAACATTTTTTAGAAATCCCTTAAGAGACTGACCACAAGTTTATCAGGGAAGTCTTACCAGATGGCGGTTTGTAAAGTAAACGGAATTTAGTCTTTTTAGTTCCTGGAAGATTGGTGAAAGGTTTGATGGATTTAAAAAAATGTTCTTTTAATAACAAAAGAGCCAGTTCCTGAATTACCAATTACATGTAATTCACATTCCACCAAGAGTCTTTTTACATATTCTAGAAGAATCAGTTCTAAGACATGAAAAGCTTTATTTTTCTTTTATTATATTTTCTCAAATAAACTTCCCCAAAGGAAGATATTTTAAGAGCATTTCAGACATCTTTGGCATCACATAAAAAAGAAATCTCGTGTAAAAAACGAAATGTCATCTGTACTTTTATAATACAAAGGCGCAATCCAATATGAACATATAAAATATATACAAATATAGTGCATGGTCAGTCACTTAATACGGCTCTCTCTACGAAAAGTAACTTTTTAGAAATTAAAAATACACAAAGTAACCACTTAATGAAAAAAGTCCTCTTTGCTCCCAGTATTCAAGCTCCTGTTTAGAGTCCAGAGGGAAGAGAGGTGGGTTGGGGAGTTTGGGAGGAGGAGGGGTGGCCGGAGCCCCTCAGTTCCGCCACGGCCTCCACATGGAGTCCGCCGTAAGCGAGGGGCCGCTGGAAGGCGACACTGCGTTGGGGCCCACGGAGGTCCCGCTGTTGCTGGTGTAGACGGGGATGACAGGGCCGCTGTGCGCGAAGGCCCCGTTGGGAATGAGGAAGGCAAACTGGCCATCGGGAGCCGGTACCACCTGGAAGCCTCCAAACACCTTAGCCGCCTCTCCAGCCTGGCTGCCCAGCTTGCAGGGTGCGCCGCCGGGAGGGGGCGCCGCGCCCCCGGGGATGGGCACGAGCGGCGGTGGCGGCGCGAATGGCGCGTGCTGGGGACCGCCCGGTCCTGGTGGGGGCGGCGGCGGCGCCTGCAAGGCGGGGTGAGGCTGCCCAGGGTAGGTCATGGCATTGATCTGGGTCATGCAGTTGGCCAGGTGGCCAAGCAGCCGAGTGCGCACCTCGGTATTAACGCCCTCGCACGTGGACAGGAAGCGGGTCACTTCGTTCATACACTCGCTGAAGCCGGCGCGGTACTTCCCCAGCACGCTCGGGTCTGTGCTCAGCGCAGCTGCGGGCCAGAAGGACACAGACGGGTCACCGAACGGCCCTGGCCCTGTGGCCACTGCCTCCGCCCTGGGAGGTCCCTGTGGCGCGCCTCCCTGACCATGCGCCCGTGAAACTGCCTCTGGCAGGGAGGGTTAGATGAGAAACCAGCCGCCTCTCCACACAAGCGTGGCAGCCAAAGCCGAGCCACTCCTTCCCGATTCCCTGTCGCTGCATTTAAGCCTATCTCAGCCCCAGATCTGTCACCTCCACCCCCGCGCGGGATGTGACCTTGGACAATGCCTCCCAATCCATCATTCGGGCCTCATTTCCCCTTCTGCAACGGGAGGGAGTGCTAACCCAGTTGACCCCCAGGCTCCACGCAGTTCCAAACCGCCACAGTCCTAAGTCCTTTCGCCCCTACCCGCCGCCCGCCACCCTCGCGGCTGCAACGTCTTTCCCTCCCTTCCGGAACAGTAACAACTTGGAGTTGTGGCTATAAATAAGCCCAGACCGTGGGAACGCGAGAGTGAGCCAAGGCAGTAAAATGTAGCTGAATGCCTCTCACAACCACGGGCGGAAGTCTGGAAGAAATCACCGCGAGGCGAGCGGGACGCCCGCACAGGGGGGCGCGGCGAGCTGCCCTCACCCGTCATCTGCGCCCGCTGCAGGTTCCGGAGGTGCTTCACTGTCATTTCCAGAATGTCCGCCTTCTCCAGCTTGGAATGCCGCGAGCTCTGCATAGGAGGAGGCAAGGAAGTAAAGTGAGCCCCTTGTCAGCTGCTTCAGAGTACTGGGGGTCCCTCCTCCCGGCCACGGAGCGCCTGCACATCTAGGCACCGCAGCGAAAAAGGCCGGGCCCTCCCGCCTAGGAGAACGCAGTACAGGCGAGTGCTAGAACCCGCAGGCGGGGGGTGTCACTCTCAGTAGCTGAGGAAGTGTTTGTTTTTTAATTAAAAGAAGGAGCAGCGTTTCCCCACTTACATCTTTCTTAAGGGCATCCAAAATCAGTGTTTTCAGCTGGCTCAGACTTTCATTTATTCTTGCTCTTCGTCTCTTCTCCATGATAGGCTTTGATGACTGCAAATAAATAAAAACAATTAGTTCTGAGTTCCCATGGGATCTGCCGTTTCGTCCTGGGCTTTCTAGATAGAAAGAAGCCCCCCAATCCCTACTTAATTTTGAGGGGCTGCAGAGAGATGCAGGTACCGCCCTTACCTTTCTGTGCTCAGATGCTGTCTTTGGTTTATCCGGTGTCGTGTTGACACTGGCTGGGGTAGCAGCCACCGGGGACGAGGAATTTTTCTCCATTATATCAGCTGGCATTTTCCTTTTTTTTTTTTTTTTTTTTTATCCCAAGAGAATTTTATTTTTGGAGTTCTTCACGAAAAATAGTTTTTTTTAATGTCTCTGTTACTTGAGACTTTCACAAAACTATTGAGCAAGTGCTGAGGGTTTATTATAATATTTTGTGGCTACTTGGCGATCAGTAGCGCTGTTCCAGGACCAAGGAGAGAGGTAGACGGGGGATTCCGCTGTTATCAGCACCAGCTCCGGATCCTGTGTGATCCCCAGGCCCTGGCGGCCTCTATATATATCTGGGACTGCACGCGAACGGCTCGTGTGAAACTTCCCAAACTTTCTTTCCCACAGTAACTTTCAGCCAATGGGAGGAGGAGACACGCGGCACCGCTCGTGGACCGCGCCCCCCCATTGGCCGCCAGGCACAAGGTCTGGCGGCCAATGGCGCGCGCCTGAGCCCAGGGCACCGGAGGCTACAACGTCAATCAAAAGGATTTTAACCCTTTGCTACTCTCCCTCTGGGCTTTGGTTTAGGGGTGATTTTTTTTTTCCTTTTTTCCGCTTTGGTTTTGGTCTTGACTATTTCTTCTGGAGCCAGGGTCTTTGCTCTTTATGCCCTCTCTCATGTGTAACAGAGCGGCTTTGACTGTAGTAAGTTCATTTGAAGCATATATATATTTTTAAAGTTATAAAAGGGCAGAAAAAAATAATAGCAGTGGTTAAAAGCTGAGGGTGGGGGTGGAGGAGAAACGTGTGTAAGGGTGTGAGCTACCGACGCATCTAAATAAGTTCCCGCTCAGACTTTATACATTCAGGAGGGTGAGAGTAAATCATGCAGGAAAAAGGCCAATTTTTTTTTTTTTCCTTTTTGCATGCAGAAAAAGGAAAAAATGTCTTCTAACTTACAAATGCAGGTTTTTCGGATCGAGGTAGTCCTTGAATACCTTCCCCACCCCACCCCCGCCCCGTCTTTCAGAAATTCCTCTTCTGGAATTGGGGCCTTAGACCACGCGCTTCCCCAGGAAACAATCAGAATAATTTCCAACTGGGTAGAAGGAAGTGGTATTTAAAAATGAAAAAATGAACAAGGGGGCTCTAATGGCAATGCCTCAGGGACTTGCTCCCTCCTTCACCACCGTTTCCCTTTTCATCTGTAGGCTGTAGGTTCTACGGCGCATTGAGGTGGCCGGCAAGGAAGCAGCCTCTCCCTCCTCGCCCCGCGGGCGGTCTCGGCGCCCGGCGCGCGCGGGCCCTTTAAGAGCTACACAAGCCGAGCTGCAGTTTGACATCAGCCGGCCGGCGTGGGCGCGCCTGGAGCCGGAGCACGTGCCAGGATGTTTTATTGCCGCCGCGGCTGCGGCCGGGCCGGGAGGATGTGTGTGTGCGTGCGTGTGTGAGTGAGTGTGTGTGCGCGCGCCCCGGGGGCAGGGAGGCGGGGGGCGGCGGCGGGCGGCGGAGAGCGGGGGCCGGTTCCTGGTCCCCGGGAGAAGCCAAGAAGGTAAATAGCAGCTGCTGTGCTCGAGCCTGGGAAAACCCCGCCCCCTGCGCCTGGCCCGGGCTCATTGGCGCGCGCTGCGTGTGGGGTGTGTGTGTGTGTGTGTGTCCGGGGCCCCCTCCTCCGGCCCCGCCGGGCCAGGAATCCGAGGGGGCGGCAGGCTGGGAGCCGAGGCCCGGCACTTACCCTCCCTCCCCACCCCCGCCTCCCCACCCCCGCCTCCCCAGGCCAAGGTCAGCTCTTCCGGGCGGGGAGCGCACACCCGGGTGGAGAGTGGGGAATTCTTCCAACCCCACCTCACCACCGTCACTTTCGGGCTTGGGGTTTTCACTCGGCCGAAAGCCTCACTTGCAACAGCCTGGGGGCGAGGTGGGGGCCTCCGTGTTTGCTCCTGGCCCCCGCCCTCTTCCTACCCCCGCGGGGCCCTCGGCGCCCGCCGCGGTCACGGGATGCCTGACCGCACTTAGGAAGCGGCCGGGTCAGCCTCCTGCCTCCGCTCAGCGACTGCGGTTAAAGCGGCTTCCCGCCGCCCGCCCCTTCCCCGGGTCCCGGGCGGCCGGCCGCACCCCCTCACTGCGCCCGGTAGGCCGCCGGCGGGCGGCCGGGAGGAGGCGGGCGGCGCGGGCGGCTGCGTGCTGCCTGCTGGCCGGGCCGCGCGCCTGGAGGAGCCGCCGCCGCCGCCGCCGCCGCCGGGTGCCACGTGGCGGGCGCCGGGCCGGGAGCGCCAGGGCTCTGGCGGCGGCCTCCCTGGGGGATTTGCCGAGCCGGGCGGGCGGCGCGCAGTGCCTGGGCCGGCCGGCCGCCTCCTCCGCCTCCCGCCCGCCTGCCCGGGTCGCCGGCCCCTGTGCCCTCACACCCCCGCCCCCGCGCTCTTCCCGCCGCCCGGGAGGTGGGCTCGCGGCTCTGGGCAGCCCGGGAGCCCAGCGTCTTGTTTGATGTGGCCCCCCCGCCCCTTCAGCCCTTTCCGCGTCCCGGAGGTCTGGCGCACAGTTCTCGTCCACTTCATTCCTTCCTGCCTCCGAGCTCCCCACTGAGATAATGTTGTAAATGATTTCCCCAGATCTGGTCCCGGATGAGATTCAGTGGTTCCTGACTCTGGGTGACCTTGGGCAAGCCCCCCTCTTTCTTTCATTGTGGAACACACGCGCAGTGTCAGACACTGTGTTAAACCCTGGGATTTCCACGATGAGAGATACAGTGGCAGCCTGCAAGAAGTTTACAGTGAGCTGCGGGGCGGACAGACGCTGATTTTCTGATTGATGACCGGACATTGCTTTATTTTTCCTTGCTTTTCTGAGTTAGGTGTGGCCTGAGAGATCAGGAGGACAGAAACAAAATATGAAACCACACATGTATGGATAACAGTATTGCTGGCTTTCCTGGGTTTACAGCAGTGAATAAGACCGTTACTGCCCTCTGGAAGACAACAGCCTAGAGGCGCATATAAACGTGTACAGGTGACATTTACGGATGTCCCAGTAAATTCCTCTGGAAGGATTCTAGGTTCAAGAGAGATATATGTTTGGATAGAGGTAAAATGCTATGGAGTTTCAGGAGAATTAAATTACTTTTAAGTTGGAGTACCTTGGAAAATTTCCCGGAGGGATTGGCTTGTGTGCCCTGAAATATAGGTAGGATGGGGGCATTGAAAATGTCCTGAGTCGTGGGGCTGGAGAGCATGCAGGTACCCATGACATTAAAGGCCAGGACTCTGGAACTTGAGGTCTTTATTCAGGGAAGATGGTCTGGAGCTGAGGGAATGTGAGGGACTAGAAGAGGCAGCTTGAGGCCGTATCACAAGCTCCTTAAACGTCTTGCTAAAGGACTTTGGACCTTATTTTTAGACAATGGAGAGCCATGAAATAATCTTGAGCAAAGCAGAGGCATCAGGATTTCCCATTAGAGAGATGGCGCTGGCAAAGTGGGAGAGTGGATTGTATGGTTTGGAGGCAGAAAGGGCGGTTAGGCGGTTCAGGCTAGTAAAGAAGGTTCCTATGAGGCAGGTGCAGACCAACACCCAGAGGCATCTACATCCAGCTCCTCTGGACGTTGACTGCACCCTCTTGGGACCTGAGTTCAACTCAAACCTGCCTAGCCTTTAATTAAGTGTTCCCAACCTCCCACCAGAAACTCAGGAACTCCGATTTAGTTCCTCAGTTTAACTAAGGAATTGTGGCTCTGACCGTATTCACCTAAGCCTCATTTCCACCTTCCAGGATAGTCCTCAAGGCTGCAACCAAACAGTTGCCTCTTTGCAAGGCTTGGTTTACTCACTGTTGCCCCTTGGGCTACTCTCTTGAGATTTTTAAAAAATGTTTTCTCACACTGCAGAGTGAGCTGTGCCCTATCATGTTCTGAAGAAATGATGAACAATGCCTCCTTTGTTGACCTGCAACCTGGGCCGATGGGGAAGGAATTTTCTTTCTTATTTTAAACAGATGGAAAAATGGTGATGACAGAAAATTGTCTGTTGCTTTTGGAAAACATGGGTTTTTCCTGTGTGGTTAAAATCCTCTTGGTGAAAGGTGATGAGCCTATGAAGTTACCCTCCTTTCTGCCATGGCCCCAATAAGCTTTCCAAGCTTCTTAAAATGCTTCTACTGAGCGTCTGACTTTTAAAAAACTGCACAAATACACTGACCCAGATTCTTCCAAGGAACTAAACCCTTCCTAGGGAAGCATGTTAACCCTTTCCAGGTCCCCCCCCCCCTGCCGCCCCACATCTTTCAGAACCAGTGGACCCTCTGCTAAGCTCTGACACTGACTGCTGGTCAGCCTTCATTAACCAGCGGGGTATGTCACCCCCTGTCCATTCTAAGGGATTTTTGCATCTGATTCTTTTCCCCACTCTGGATTTGGCACCCTGAAGGTGCATGGGGAATGGAATATGGTCATGTTAGGATCTCATGCAGTACTCAAAGCAGCCTCATGGGTCAAATAGTTAATCAGCAACTCGTTTATGGCCACTTTGGGAGTGCTTAGAATGGGCAAGCAACTTTCACACACACACATTTTTAGATAAGGGGAAGAGGCTCAAGCAATAAAAAAATCAGCTATGAATTTGTGTCTAGACCAAAAAAATATATATAAATAAATTCCAGGAGCTCTCTGGCTTTGCACTCTAACCGTTCAAGAAGAGTTTCTTGCAGATGTGCTCAGAGATGATTTTGCAGTGGCCTTATCCTAGGCAGTGAAAATAGGACCAAGTTGGTCCTCTCCCCACACCTTCTCAAATGGGACAGTCAGCTCCTAAACTCAGGAAGAAGCATCTGGATTTGGAAGAATGCTCTTAGAAACAGCCTTTTATTTTTCAGTCATCCTCTTCCCCCAACTCCAAGAGCAAAGAGAAAACGGAGCCCTGTTCCTCGGTGAAGATCACTTCTTTGATCCCACTGTGATACCAGCAAAACACAATGAATCGAACTGTTCTCACCATGCCATGCCCAATAAATACAACCAGGGGCTCCCGTGTTTGTCTCCACCCACACTTCCTCCCCACCCCCACCCCAGGAAGGGTGATTTCTCTGTCTTATTGCATCACCTGTTTGCTTTCAAACCATAAAACAAATAACTGCATCTCTAGTGAAACTCCCCTTTGTCCCCTAGGTATCAGAATGGTTTGTGGGTTTGGTTTAAAGCTACAGAAAGGAGAGAGCAAAAGAAGAAGAGAAAAGGTATTTTGCCTGAGGACGTGAAGCTTTTTTAACCCCACTTTTCCTCCGCTTGACTGACTTTCTCACACTCAGATTCCCTCCAGCCTGCCAGAGACGTGGTAGCTGCCTTGCCAAGAGCTATCCTGGGAGGGCTATTGAAAGAGCTTTGAGTAAGTACACACAGGGCGGATTTTCTCCTCCCCTCCGTACCTGCTCCGCACCTGTACAAGGAGCAGTTCCACACATATCACCTGATCACAGCCCTTTCAGGGACCGTGAGAAAAATTAAGCCCAGGATAGAA